TGCAGATGCTGCAGGGACTATGTCCTCTGCCATTGGTGCTGTGCTGGTGCCGTTGTCGTTGCTGCTGCTGCGGCTGCAGCACCTGCTTGTGTATGCTGCAGCAGCAACTCAACACCTGCTCCACTAGAGAAGGGTTGCGAGACAGCAGCGGCCCCAAAGACTTCAGCACAGAGTCCAGCGGCAGCAGCGGCATCGGGGTATCTCCAGCAGGTGGAGACCCATGCACCTGCAGCAGCAGCAGCAGCAGCAGCAGCAGCAGCAGCAGCAGCAGCAGAAGAGACGGGAGGAGAATAGTTGTAGCGACAGCAGCAAAAAGAACAGTTGCAGCAGCAACCGCAACAGCAACAATCACATAGCACAGACAACAGCAGCAACAATAACAGCAGCAACAGCAGCAGCAGCAACAACAACAACCACGCAGCAGCAGCAGCAGCAGCAGCAACAACAACAGCAGCAAGAATCAGCAGCAGCAACACAAGCACCAATCCCACAAAAAAAAAGCAAAAAAAAAAAAAAAAAAAAAAANAAAAAAAAAAAAAAATAAATAAATAAATAAATAAATAAATAAATTACCCTGATATGTGTCTGCAGCGCCATTCTGCTGCCAGCAGCAAACGCAACGCGGAGGCCCCGCTCAACGCATGCAGCAACAAGCGAAGGCTCCTCCAGCAGGTTCGTTATAATACAACAAAGAAGAGAAACGAAGCCGCTGCAGCTGCTGCTGCGGGGCAGCCGCAGCAGCAAACCCAGGCCCCAACCCAATGGCTGCTGCTGCAGCACATGCTGCTGCTGCTGCTGCACATGCTGCTGATCATACAACAACTCATGCTGCTGCTGCTGCTGATCGAACTCCTCCCCCTCAACCTGATGCTGCCCCCGCTGCTGCTGCTGCTGCTGCTGCTGCTGCTGAGGTGATGAGGGCATCTGTCTGTATCGCCCCTTCGGCTGGTGCAGCAGCAGCATGAGCGCGTTGCTGTAGGTAGAGGATAGGCGCCGCAGCAGCTGCAGCACAGCTAGAACAGCATCACCATCAGCAGCAGGAAACAGCAGCAGCAGATCCAAGCAAGCAGCAACCAGCTGCCGCTGCTCTGTTGCTGTAAACGACCGCAGCAGCTCATCGTACTCCAGGTCCTTCGCTCCCCCTGAAACTATCATCTCCTCCTTGCTGCTGCTGCTGCTGCTGCTGCTGTTGCTGCTGCTGCTGCTGCTGCTGCTGGTGGTTGGTTCAGAAGAACCACGCTGACCGTCGCTGCTTGCGAGAGGCTGCGTCGTCGTGCTGCTGCTGCTGCTGCTGCTGCTGTCATTGCTGCTGCTGCTGCTGTTGAGGGCAGCAACGGATGCACTGATAGCAGAAGTCAGCGTATCGCCTGCAGCACTGCTGCTGCTGCTGCTGCTGCTGCTGCTGCTGGGTTCGTGCTGCTGCGTGTCGTGCAGCGGCGCAGTATCCTGCAGCAAATACATGCTCATCATCTCATCGATACAAAGAAGAGAAGGAGCAACAAAGGGGGGGAGAAAAGCAGCAGCAGCAGCAGCAGCAGCAAGCCCTGTGGGTCTATCCATAACAACAGCAGGAGTTGCTGCTGCCATTCCTTGCTCTTGCTGCTGCAGCTGCTGCTGCAGCACCTCAGCACCATCAACAGCAACCAGACGAAGCAAACCACACTTCGGCACTGCAGCAGCAACACGCATCTCCTGTACTTCTGCTGCTGCTGTTGTTGGATAGTTGAGAAGACACCAGCCGGGGAGCGGCAGCAACACAGAAGCTTTTGCTGCTGTTGCTGCTGCTGCTGCTGCTGCTGCTGGTGGTGGCTTTGCTGCTGCTGCTGGCTTCGCTGCTGCTGCTGCTGCTCCTGTTGCTGCTGCTGTTGCTGCTGCTGCTGCAGTGCATGCATCCAGTATCTCGGGGCACTGGTACCAGCCCTTAAGGTCTGTTAGCTGCGGCACTCCTGCTGCTGCTGCTGCTGCTGCAGCATGGCTGTTTGCTGTTGTATACATACCGATGAGAGAGGAGAAGAGAGAGATAGGGTGTGTGACTGCTGCTTTTGCTGCTGCTGCTGCTGCGCCCCCAGGCTCGCTAGCTGCTGCTGCTGCTGCTGCTGCTGCAGCACACTGCTGCAGCATATCTCTCCAACAGAAGCGCCGGTGCAGCAGCTGAGCCATGAAGAAGCTGCAGCAGTATAGCTGCTGCTGCAGCCGCATGCACATGTACACCCCAACAGCCCGATGAAAGTCTTTCTGTCGAGCTGCTGCTGCTGCTGCTGGTGCTGCTGCTTCTGCTGCTGCTGCTGCTGCTGCT